GGGTCGGAGTAAGTTTTCACAGGAGAGACAGATCGCCAGACTTCAATCGCAAAAGGAGGGCTCGTGGTCCCATCTGGCAGCTCCGTAGAGGGTACCAGTTCAAGTTTAACTTGCCTCGCCGACTTATAGTCACGATACTCTTCGGCAATGACAAAGTTTGTTCGAAGAGACCAGCTAGGAAGCCTTGGAGACTGCCCGGGACGTAAAGCTGGTATGTGCAGCAAATCCAAGGGATAGTCCCTCAGGTTGACGCGCGCCTCTCCCATTTCCAGCTGTATACTCATGGGAACAAGCAGCGCATACTTCATGGACATCGGCATGCCTTTGCCGATTGTGTTGAGGAATTTGGGGTAATCTTCCAAGGGGAAGAAAGGTTTATCAATGACGAGGTTAATGTCACTTATCAAAGCGGCCAAGAGAGCAGGTCTGTTCGGAATCGAGAGTACAGTTTCCGTTTCTTGAACATCTTCAGGGGCCTCATCAGCACCGGAGAAAAGGTTTCGCACTTCCTTGATCGACGTGCCCTGGAATCGTAGGGCAGAATCGATCTTGTCCTTCCAGGACCGAGAATTGTGTTCTTGGAGACGGAACCAGGCATTCTCGGCTGAAACCTTGGCTTCGCAAGACAGGCAGGCAGCTCCCTCGGTATCATAGCGGAACTTCTTTCCTCGGCCACGCTTGTCATCCTGCAGGCTCTTCCGCGGTTTAGGGTCGGCACTCTTGCTCCTCCTGGATTCTCCGCTAACACGTTCACTACGAAGTGTCCGGTGGCTTGATCGAGCCCGAAGTCTCGACGAAGAGCGGCGATCCGATTCCTTGATCTTTTGTAATTTCAGCTCGAATGCCTCCTCGCGTGCCAAGCGCTGGCGCTGCTCTATAAGACCAGTGCGATAAATGCAACCAAGTTTCCACTCGAAAGCATCATCTTCCAATTCAAATAGCAGAGCCTTGCTGCGCAACGACACCCTGGGAATCTTCTTAGGCTCTTCCGGTTCTCTGACTGATCCAAATTCAGCTGAGTGACCCTTGAAGCGTTCATGAAGCTGCTTGAGTGCTTTTGAGGTATTGATCACGTTGTCAAAAATGCGATGCATTACCATGTGATGCGGTACACCCAATCGAATGAAATCAGCCCAGACATCTATACTCCTTTGCTCGACAAGATTGGTGCCATGTTTGAGTTTCATCTTACGTAAATCAATGCGAACGTTGTTCATGCTTATGATTCTGGCCCACACACCCTTGAGCTTTGGCGCTTCTGCGTGTAACCGGATAAGATGTGCTTTCGCAAATGGAGCGGAGAGACGATGCGAGCCAGCGGTCAACCCGTAGATTTGAACCAACATTGGAGGATCAGCAGGCATAAAGGTCTTGAGCTGTATGACAGTTGCTCGGACATCATACGTCATGAGCTCGCCCCTCGCTGACGGACGTGGTGATGGGGGGTAGGCGAATTCCTTTTGAATAGGGGACATGGGCGTTTCAGGAATATCCGGTGACTTTCGCATGAAAGCGTCCTGAACCACAGACATCGCAACACCGAGGCAATAGTAGCGGTACAGGGAGTATTGTAGGTAAACGCCCTTGAACACCGAATTGAGGTTACTAATCGGACCAAGACGATCACTCATCGTGCTTAGGGCCACCTCGAATCTCGGTAGTGAGAAAAAGGGCTCGGCTTCCAAATAGTCTTCGGATTCAATGACAAACCCCTCGAAGCCGCGGACATGGAGGGCTAGCCGTCTTCCATCTGTAGCGCCCACCTGTTTCTGTCTGGGAGGCGACGTAGGGGGAAACCGGAAGGACGACTCATCTCCAATGTAAGAGTGACTTGGGGTTCGTCTTCTCGCAAAACTGACTGTCGTTGGTTCTGACTTCTGGGCTCTGTAGTCTGCGGTCCACGACTGTAGCTGGAATGAGACACCACGTGACACCTCAGAGACACTCGTGTCAACACCAGCAATCTCCAAGCTGAGGCCAGTGGCTTCGAATTGAAAACGAAGCAGCCACGGAGGAATTCGCCTGAGCACACTAGGTTTCCGCTCCTCAAATGACATAGAGGCCTTCCTTCTGTGTCGCGTCTGAGCCCGGAACTGCTCAAGCACCTGATGAATGCCACGGTTCACTTCATCGTTGACCATGTGCGCAGAACAGGTATTCAGACTCCCAGATGCAATCACGCGTACTTCTGGCGAAGCACTAAGTAGCACCTTGAATTCCAAGCTCTCGGTCGTCAGAAGATTATGTTTCACACCTGACGGGGTTTGATAGTACAGCTGGTGCGATGCCACCCGGTAAATGGAAGAGAGCGAATAGTGAACCCCGCCTTCGGACGAATGTGAAGATTCAATGTCAAGAGAAATAGAGGAGATAGAGGAAATTAGTAGATTATAATCGTCGTCGGGGGTGTCGGAAGGCTTGGAAATGGGGAGCACGAATCGAACCACGGGTTCGTGAACAGATACTTTGATACTGGCCTTGGGAAGAAGCCTGGAAATCAAACGATGGTTATCCCTCTTCTTTCCACGAGGAGACGCCTTCTTCGCCTGAGTCAACCCTAAGAGCCGAGAGACCTGCTTTGGCTCTAGATCGAGTGATGGGGACGTCACCACCAAATTAGCAAATAGTATGTTGGTATTGCGCTCCTCCGGGTTGTGGTCATCGAAGGAGCTAATCGTCTTTGAAGGGAGCGTGGTCTTGATGGTTGTGGTCGCCATTGGGATATAAAGTATGTTGTCCGTCTCGCCTGAGCAATCATCCAAAGTGACCGACAAAGAGATGGCCGCCAGGAGAGCTTGATGGGCGACATCATCGCGTTGGAAATACATGCGATGAGCAGGACTCTTTTGGTCCATCCGGTGAAGATCAATGCCTAACTCATGCGACACCACGTTCAGATACACGGGATTTTGTTTTGACGAAGGCGGCTCGAAAGCTCGAGTTAACCTAAAGAAGCTCAGGGCAACCTGTATTCCTTGTATACCCCGAAGGATTGACCCGGCAAACTCCTTGGAGTCAGCGACTGCCTGCACAATGGTGTCGTCTCGACTTCCGGGCTGATCCAGCTCCTCCACAAAGTCTGAAAAGGAGACCTCGTCATCGGTCTCAATACTGGTAGGCTCCACCGACGACTGCCGAGACTGTTTGACGCGCTGCATCAGAGTCATCACATCGTCGTACGGGATATGCATGCGCCCAATTTTGAAAGCGATGGACGCATCTCTTAGGCCCTCGAGATCCTTGTGAAGAAGCCCATGTATGTTGACCCGAACATTGTCCAGCACTTCGGTTGGCTCCGCTCCGTCTATCCCGAGTAGCACGTTCTGTACATTCATGACCCACTCCGCCGGTCGATGCTCGTCAGGGCCCTGGTTCTTGCGTCGAAAGAAGAGTTTCCCTCGATCCACCATCTTGCGCCTCGTATCGACACCCAAGGATAGCGATCCAACCTGGATCTGACCAGCTTCCACGAGATTGATGGTCGTATTGACGGCTACCACATCCACCAATTTTAACCAATGTATTTGCCGATGCAGTCGTTTCACTTGCTCCTTCATGCGGGTCAGCTTCCGCCATGTCTTGCTCCTCTTGGGTATGGAAGAAGAGCTGTCTTCCCGATTATCCGGCGCGGTGGACGACTCTTTCTCCGACGGGGCTTCCGAAACCGATGCATCGGGCTTTGCGGCGGACTTCTTCCCCTTTGTCAAAGCTGAAGGGTCCAGAGTCAATTTTAGTTCAGTCAGGCGAATGCTGAGCCATGTCGGTTGCGCGAACGAGGGCGGGTGTAGAGAGAGGCCGAGGCCACGGAGTTCGATCTGGAGGCCATCTCGGGGAACATATGCGATGCGGCGGAGAGAAAAATATCCTATTCGTTGAATCGAGATTCCGGTCGCAATCCGAACGATAGCGAATATGAGAAAGGAGGAGAGGTAGAGGAGGAGGAAGCCCACGAGGACCGTGGTCGGGCTAAAGAGCGTCATCGTAGTTCGCGGTCAGTAGGACCGATCCGTTGCACAAAATGGGCAACCGTCCAACAAGAGATCATGGAGAGGCGTTTCGGAGACCGCGGAGTGATTCTAGACGGAAGAGGTGAGTGAAAAATGACTGGAGGGAGCAATGGTATGCCTATGCAACCACACGAGCTCCCCCGAGTAGATCCAGCGCAACCCTCCTGAAGAGAGGGGATGGGGGGGGGGTTGTACTTCGGCGGATCCGGGAAAGAGAACAGGTCTCCGTTTAAGGGTAGAGCTGCAGAGGGGTTGAAGAAACGTTGTGAGAGTAACGAAACAGGCGTAAGTCAGTCATGCTTCTTCGTCCCTTTTCTCCCCTGAATGTAAATATTGATTTGTTATTCGTCCTTCACCACCACCGTGAAACCCAGTGCGTTATGATGAAAGGTGAGGACGATCGGGAGGGCGAGCCATAGATGCCAAACCACTGGAGCGGCAACCTGTCAGCGGCGGAAAGGTCGAACCCGTCGCGCTCAAGACTGGAAGCGGAAAGCCGCCCACTTTTTTTTTTTCCAGGCCGGCAATGGACCAACGAGGGGGTTATTCTCTGGCTGGACCGTCCGGCTGGCTCGGCATTGCTGCTTAGCAATTTACTTAAACTGGCAAAAGATGTGGGTTTGCCCGCTGCATAGAAAATGAAAAAGTAAAATGCAAGCAAAGCAATTCGACGCATCTTCCGAGCCTCAGAGGGCTGCTGCAGTCGATCGGGAAGCATTTTTCCCTTTCCCCTTGCTCGATGGGACCCGGTCTCACACAAAGCTTAGCAGCGTGGTCGTTCTTGTTTGGACTCTGTTGGATTCAGGTATCTATTCACCTACGAACACGGGAGTTGGCATCTTCCCTCCTTGAATTTAGCGCAACATTCTCACCAAGTATCGCTTGATTGGGGATTCCTCACTAAACTTTCCCAACAATATCCAGAATGCTTCTTGGCGTGTGGAGCGGAGAAGAAACACTTGTCAGTCGCGAATCCTCCGTAGTGTTCCATGTAGTTAGGGTCTGCTTCATGATCATACAGGGTCTTGTTTCAAATTAAAATACATGGGTTTGGGAACAATATGATACATGACAAAAGGTAAAACTCCTTCTGGAGGCTTCATGGAAGCGGTGGCACCGGCATCCGTAGCCAACTAAAAGGTACAGCAGATCCGACCATCGTGTTGTTGGTCGAAGGCTAAAGTCGCAACCTCAAAACCTCCTGAGTGAGCAGCACAACATCATTGCAAAGCTGGGTGCAAGTGCAACACACAATGCTGCCGGGGTTTCCATCCTAGCGGAAAAGTGAACGATCTACGTCCACCCCCCGATCACACAGTCCTCTCCTTAACATACTTAGATCGGACATGTAAGATCGGCCCCCAACCATTCGAGAATGGCCGTAACTTTTCTCTTTCTCACCCATAGCCAAGTTGCTAGTGGCCGTCTAGAAACCGACTACTTAGCTGCAGGATCCGAATTTCCCGATTCGAGACCACTAGTCTTGAGCTTTTCAAGCTCCCCGATCTTGTCGTCAATAAGTGCGATCTCAGCCTCGATACTCAACACTTTCTCGTTCAAGATACCCCTGTAATCGTCATCCGAGAGTGACTTGAGCGGGATCCATTTGGAGTCGGCCATCCGCTGCAGGAACGGCTTAGACGTCGTATTCGCGTTCTCCATTTGCCAGGTGTCGATCGCATTATAAGAGCTTTGCCCAACATAGCCTAGTAACGAGAAAACAACTAGCCCAGGGACAAGTCGCCCGCCTAGCTCCGACCATCAGTAAACCAACCACCACCACCTTTCTCTCTCAACCGGGAAAATGAAAGGATGCTACCAAACTCACCCATTAGCCTCGTAACAGCCCCTCCGGCAACTCCTCCGGAGAGGGCGCTGACATAAGCCCGTTGCTTAGGGGTCGCCTTGTCTTCATAGTGAAGCTTTAGAATGTTGCTTCTCAACCCTGTAGTAGCAAGCTTGGTATCATTTCCAGATCTATAAGGGACAGAGGAGAGGAAGACTCACACCAAAAGGAGGCTCCACATGCAAACCAGTGGATTCCGCAAGAGATAGAATGAATGACGGGGTGGGGAGACCGGATAACTCCTGATATTCCCCCGTATATGAGGCCAGCAGATCCTGTGAGAGAAAGAGAGTAAGTAAGTAGGACTGCTGCAATGAGTCTCCGGCTTATGTTGCCTGAGTTGAGGCAATACAAGCCGGCCGACCAGTCACCGGGATGGGATTGGTAACTAACCAGTCACGGCTCCCACCTTCAGAGAAGAGGTCAATACATTAGGCTCCGGATATAACGATTTGGTCTGTCCGCTCATTTTTGCGGTTCCTGGCACTGTAGTCTGCGACTTCAGGTCAGAGGCATATCCTGGTTAACAGTTTCAATCAGCATCTTCGCTCATGCAAATCCACAAGCGTGCACGTGATTCACGCAGGCTCGGGATGCTTATCTAATCCATCTCCCTCCTGATGCCAAGCAGGAGTATAATTGATACAATGGCCTGCTTTTTATCTATCTGATGCAGACAATATCCTGTGTTAAGACTCTTGTGGGACATCTGAATGCCTTAAATACACACATACTATATACAAGACTCTCGCAAGTAAGATATCTCTAGAATTTATGAACCTGATCCTTCGAGAAGCCCAATCGGCTCAAGATTCCTTCAGGCGATCTTCTTGTTCCAACCAGAGAATCTTCCATCGCTGGAGGACCGCAAATGAAGACCTTCGTATTTTGCGTCGACTCTTTGAATGTGCTCCTTAGAAGCTCCTCGTCGATGTACCCTGTTCTGTAAGGGGAGTTCTCCTCTTTCGGACGGCTAACAGTGTATATGTAGTTGAAACGGTCAGGAAACTCTGTGGCATAACGATCAAGTTCCTCCTTCAACAGTAGATCTTCCTCGGAGTTGACCCCAAAGACCAAAGTCAGTTTCGTTCTGTCCTGGGGATTCTTCAGGATGCCTTTGATAAGCTGATAGATAGGCGTGATTCCAGCCCCGCCAGCCAAGAGGTAGGCGTGGGAGAACTCATTCTGCTTCCATTGATAGCCTTTCAGTGAAGTCGCAAACCTAAGTGAGTCTCCTGGTTTCAAGGAGTGCAAGTAGCCACTAGCCTTCCCGTCCGGGTATTTCTTGACCATAAGTTCTATACGTCCTGGTTCATCTGTGTATTTGATGTTACTTAGCAAACATGGTCCATGATAGGCCTATCCCTGACCACACGCATGTCCCATCTCTATGATAGATGGACCGTGTCTAGTCGTTCAGGGCGTGTTGAGTCGGACACGGTATGAGCTCACCCAAGTCACTTATAGGAGTATATGGTCGAATCGTAGGAAGCCAGCTCCCTTCCGGATGGGTGATGGCTAGGAGCGCGGCTGTTGAATGTTAGCGGGTTATCCTGACGATAGAGACCGTCCTTCAAGGGGCAAGTCTTACAAGTCAATGTCAGGCCGCTGCGGGCGGATTCGTTAGGGTATTCGAAGACTAGTCGCTTCGTATTGTGATTGACGGTTTTGGTGCTCTGCAAGCGCAAAGTGGTGAAACCCAGCCCAGAGAAGACTGGTTTTGGCTCGTTCGATTCCGCAAACGCTGTTGAGAATTGCTTCGTGCAATATATGCCCAGGCCTGCAAAGCCAGCCACTCCAGCAACCTTGATCGCCTTGGGGATTGTGCGCTGGATGATAGTCATCCTTTTAACAAAGAACCACTCCTTTGTCAAGATGGAAACGAAGAAAGCAAAAATGGGCGAGAAGCACTCAGGAAGTACATTGGGGCTTCACGCCTTAAATAGGCCGAGAAATCAGGAGTGTACTCCATCTCGCATAAGGCGAAAGATCACTGTGGACCCAGGGACAAAGCAATTGCCTCAGAGGAGCATGATTCGTTGGACGAGATCAGTCGATAGACTATCGACCCCGAACTAGGGAGACCAGATCGGGGATATGGTAGAGAGGAGGACTGCAATGATATACAAAGTGCAGTCCCAAAGACCGAGCAACATCAGATTCCAAACCCCGACAAAATCCGAGACCCCGAATGATGTCAACGACAGACGGTGGTGTGATTGTGTGCCTGACGGCAGCGGGTCGGTGCCTTGATCTTCCCGCCATCAAAGCGGGTCCACCGAGTAAATGCAATCAACAATTTGTGACCACTCCATTTATACCCCTATGGCTTCGATATTCTCATTCCATCTGTAGCAATTTATTAGGATTCGCCTGTTGTCAAGTTTACATGAAGCCAACGTCTTTTGAAGACCACCCGGAGTAGATTACTCCATTCAATACAGTACTACAGTCTCTGGAGATAGTGCCCATGATTGAATCTTCGACAACAACTACTATGATATATATGTTACTACTTATCGTTGTCACATTATACTAGTATTACAGCAGTACTTAATCATGCTATGGCATTCACTCTGCTTAAACTGATAGGGCATGAGATCGACTTCCGCCATGTTTGCATAGACTGACAGGGTATTTGACGGCCCGCAGATCCTGACTCCCCGCTGCGGGACGCATGGGGAGTGAGTGGAGTGCGGGTCGCTCAGGTTGTACAAGTAGCTGGCGTGTTGACTGGATCAAAGATGTAAAGAGGCCCTTGCAGTTCCTCTGAAGAGCAGCGGGGGCTGTGCGTTGACCTTTGCATTTACAACAAATAGAAGATTTGGCTGGTTGGACTAATGCAGGCTTCGCGAGGCTTCATGAACAAGCCACACGGGAAGTCTCTTGAGCAGAGCCACGGAATATTGCGCCCTTCTTAGATAGTTCTAAGATTGTATTTACTGCGCGCAGCCTGGTTTGCATCTTCTCTCGGACGCTTGTCTACATTTGAGACCTACAGTAACGTCCATGTGCAGCGTGAGGATGCCAAAGACGTGCATCAACCGGGCTGATGAAGAGCAAGATATGTCCTTAGCCCCGAGAATGGCGTAAGAGCCACTTCAGATGAACAGTTGCTCATCACCCTTCACTTGCCAACTGTATACGTTCTCAAACTCCATGTTATCCTCGCTGTACACTAGGCGCACAATCCCAACCATGTGACTAGATCCATATGTCTGAATACGTAGCCGCTGCCGGTACCGTCGTATAGAACCGTGACAACCTAGGAATATCCAAGGGTTGAAGGAACTTGCAAGTGGGCAAGTCCTTCGAGTGGGAGTTGGCATTGGTGTGTCTTCAACAAGTGTAGAATATCACCGAAGACGCTTCCTTCGGATGGACTGATGGGTAGTGTTTGAGTTGAAGCCGACAGCGTTTCTCGAAAATTAGTTGTCTTCAGTCGTACTTTGTTTCATTGTGGACACGAACGACTGTTGGGAAATCGACAATCACCGACACACCCGAACGTACAGAATAGTACCTGAACAGCGCTGAGCAATCTAATTTTGTACTGTACTTTCAGTCTGTGTATATTGTCTTCCGATTTCCCAGTCGCCACCTTGACGTGGAGATGTATTTTGGGATGGCGTGGGGGTCACAGGCTTCGGAGGTGAATGGTAACTAGCTCCATTAGTAGCAATGCCTTTTTGCTGGACGGTTGTGAGTCTGGGTGAGGAACTGCCAGGAAGACAGTCGCAGACAGGAAATGAATCACTGCTGTGTATCATAGCAGTTCACGATGAAGTTAGTTTAATAAATTAGCAACCTGGAAAATGCAGGTGAGAGAAAGGTAGTGATTGCAAGTGATGTCTGCGTGTCGGTTAAGTGCCCTTCCTAGAATGGAACCAACCCGTGCAGACAATGAAGACAAGAATGTCTGGCCCAATGCGGAATGGGCCCTATTCAAGCGGAGAACCGATGAACAAACAATATTCACCACCATAACAATAGTAGTAGTGACAAGGGACCAGAAAAGGGAGACGAGTTTGACAGTCCACAGTCACTTATACTCATTATCTCATCGAATCCGACCGAAAAAAGACACCGGGTGGAGAGGAGAAAGAGGGGCGGAAGGAGAGAGACACACTTTCTCCGCAAAAAGGCGAGGGAAAAAAGGTGGAAAAAAGCCCTCGGGTTGGGTCGAGGCGGCCGACCCAAAGCCGCACCAACACTTTTTTGAGGCTGACTTTTCTAGCGTCATCACTAAAATTTATCCTCACGGATTAACCTACTTTCCCCCTCTGTCTTTCACTGCGGAGCTGTCCTGCATTCCCCCCCATCACTCAACGCCCCTTTGGACGTCCACTATCACTCTCGTGATTTCTTCCCCGTCGGAAGCCCCCCCCTTTAAATCCTTTAGAAGAACATTTATTCTGAGACGCGCACAGGAATCCCCTTGGCGCGTTTCCCACTTCTGAACAACCGCAATCATGGGTACGTTTAACCCCTCCTCGTCCGGCGCACTGTCCCAATTTACGTCAATTTCGCATCCTCTGAATCGTCCTGGATACTAATGGCTTTATTTTACGTACAGCGCCCTCTAAGCAGAAAGCCCAGAAGATGTCTCTGGGCAACTTCTTGGCCGATGAGAGTATGTCCCTGTGCATCCATATCGTCGCGGGGATGAACGGTGGCTAACAAGAACAGACTTCGGTTCTTGGGCCGACGAGATGGAAGACATGCCTTTGCCTTGTAAGTGACGGATTCCTTGCCTTTGGTTTATCGCTCCCTGCTAATATTGATGCCTTTCTAGCCGGTACGTTGTACATGATTTTTCTTCCTTCGATCCGATTGATGCTAAACTTATATCAGCTCCCGCTCCGTCCAGCTTCGGTCGCTCTGCTGCGCCTTCTTCTGGCTTCGGAAGCAGCTTTGGTGGTGGTACGGAACTCGCCCCTGTGTTATTGCTGCATTTTTGCTCCGATATATGTGTTTGATGCTGATGGATGTACCAGACCGTGAGCGTGGTGGCTACGCCGTGAGAGAGCCCCTTCCTCTTCCGACCCAGCCCCCCTACACTGCCCATGTTGGAAATCTGTCCTTCGATGCGACTGCCGCCGATATCTCCGACCTCTTTGCCGACTGTGGTGTTACCAACGTCCGTATCGTGGAGGACAAGTTGACCAAGGCCCCCAAGGGCTTCGGATATGTCGAATTTGAGACTGTTGATGGTCTGAAGAAGGCTCTTGATCTTTCCGGCGCTACCCTCCAGGGACGTTCCATCCGCACCAGCATTGCCGAACCTCGTAGGTGTCCCTTCTCAGGTATGATGATTTGCGCCAGCTGACGGTACCTATAGCCAAGGAACGTGATGTCAAGGAGTTTGACTGGACCCGCAGAGGTCCTCTGCCCGATATTCCTCAGCGCCGTGTGCCCGATCGCTCCTCTTTCGGACGCAACCTCGACAACATGTCTGATGCCGGCAGCGACCGCGGTAGTGGCCGCCGCAGCAACTTTGAGAGTGATGGAAAGTTCCGTGATTTCAGCAACTGGGAACGCAAGGGCCCTCTCTCTCCCCCGCCTGCACCTGTCCGCGAAGGTGGCCGTCCCCGCAGCAACGAAGCACCTGGTTTCAGAAGAAGCTCCCCCGCCTGGGGTGAGGGACGCTCCCAGGATGGCTCCCGCCCCCCGAGACGCGAATTCCAAGAACGCACCCCCACCGCTGCTGAACTCGATAACGCATGGAGATCCAAGATGCGCCCCGATCAGCCCGCCAAGGAGGCCAGCAACCCTCCCTCTCCTGCTGCCGCTCCTGCCGCCCCCGCTACTCGCCCTCGCTTGAACCTCCAAAAACGGACTGTGACTGAGGCCGTCTCCAGCCCCACCGCCAACACCGAGTCCAAGGCTAGCCCGTTCGGAGGTGCTCGCCCGATTGACACTGCCGCTCGCGAGAAGGAGGTTGAGGAACGTCGCCAGATTGCCATCCGCCAAAAGAAGGAAGCGGACGAGAAGGCCAAGGCCGAGAAGCCTGAGAAGTCTGAGAAGACCGAAAAGCAGCGTCCTGCCAAGGAGCAGCCCAAGGCTGAGAAGACCGGTGCGCCGGCTGATCCCAACGGCCGCGATGTCGCCGAGCACGCCCAGGGTGGCACGAACTTCGAGATCCTCCGGCGGGCCGGTGAGGACGAGAGCGGTATGGCTGCCGATCAGGATCAGAGCGAGGAGGCTGCTGCCAAGAAGGCTGAAGCCTCGACCGACGCTCCCGCCAGCAAGGCGAACGGCAACTGGAGGGCTGGGCCTGCCGAGGCTGGAGCCGACGACGAGGGCTGGAGCACCGTGAGCTCGAAGCAGCGCAACAACCGCCGTGGCGGCCGCACGTTTGCATAGATCAATGGATACCCCCCAAGCTCGTCATCGCTTGACCGAAAATCGTGCGCCATGGTCCCCGAAGTGCGTGTCATAAAGCGACCAGACTTTGCTTCTAGCCCATGTTGGGTCGCCGAATTGCCGCGCAACACTCGTGGGGATGGCCAGGTGGATTTTGGTTAACGTCGATGTCCGTTTGTTTTGATGTTGTTCAGAGTCGTCCTCAACTTCTTTCGCTTTCTCCTTTCTCTCTTCCTACGGGTTGCCGCCTCCGTCTAGATCTAGGATTCAGGTCTAGTCCCCTTGTTTCTTCCGTCAAGCATGTCGAAAAGTTTGTTCTTTTCTCCAAATTTCCTAGTGTGTGTTCTTCACGTTTCTCTGAGCTAGTTATTCCCATGTACGTGGATGAAGTGTTATACAGCAATGACCCTTATGGCTGATGCGAAGGAAGAAGAGTATACGTTTCTTTTCACTTGTTATCTTATGCTTTCTGAACTTGCTGATCGAAGCCCCAACCAACCCTCCATTCGCCTCCGAAATTAATTTGCCCAAACCCCTTTTTTGCTGCCAGACAGTTGCTATTCTTACTCCACTCTCCAAACTCTCTTTCCTTTCTAAACTCTGTCTTGCTTCTGGATCCGGGGATGGCGTGTGGAGTCTTGTTCCCTTCTTGTTCAAACTAACCGGAGAGCCCCCATGCATGTCCCTACTACTAGTTGACACGAGGCAGTTCCCCCATACGAATAAG